TAAATAGCAACTAGGAATAACAGAATAACAAATTGACCACAGCTGTGACTAGATACATTCTACCCTACGGACGGAGTGGGACCACAGCTGTGGGGCCCACATCAATGTTCTTTACAGTAGTTTAATGGTGTGAAGAGTGCTTATTCAATGTTTGTATTATGCCGCCCATATTGTGACACTTGTAAGCCGTTTTTCCTTCTTAGGCCATTACCCAATGTTGTTCTCAACAATCTGGGATCTTGGGAGGGGTGAACTGGATGCAGACATAACATTTGGCCTTTTTTTTGCACAAAGTGGTTGTACTTGTACTTGAACCTGCATTCTTATGCCTGTCATCCCAAGTTTTACCATTAAACCAAGCAATAGCCCCTATGCAACCAAGGAATCTGAGATTAATAATTTAGTTTTTTCTATTATGCGACCAAAGGATAGGATTCTTATTCTGGTTCATTGGATATTGGGTGCTGTTGGTGTCATCACGTTTTGGTTTTTGAAATTTAGTGTTGTATTTGTATCCTGTTTGGTAGTTTCTCTTATTCTATTTTTGGGGCTACAGTTCCCTCATATGACTCGCATTATGGAATTTTTGTTGTATATCAAAAAACAATTATTATGTTGGACTAAATGATTCTATTTTTTTCTATGAATTTATGGACACAGTAAGGCAAGGGCATAAACACACATTTGGTATGTTTATTACCCACAAACTGCATGCATGTTTACAACATATGAACTTTTTAATCTACTTAATAAATCCTTGCTAACCATACCTGGTTGGGGACAACTTATAAACTTCCTATTGGAAAAAAGTTGCAGCGTTAGAAATTGGGCTTCTTGCCTCATATTTGGAAGTCTATTTCATTTCAGTCTGGGTAATTTTAAGAAACAATACTAAATTTGTCCAGTTTGCGACTTAGCTCCTCCACTGAACCAATCAGGACTTGGCAGGGCAGTCAACTGAAGTCTGCCAGAAGAAGGAATGTGACTATCAAGTGAAATATTTTCCCTTGAGTTGAATTTCAGATCTTTTGGGGATTTTTATAAGTAGTTTTCAAGAAGGTAAGGTAGAGTTTGCAGATCATATACTGTTAATGATTATTTGTAAACACTTCTATTGAAAAGAAGAGGATTGTTTGTAAACATTTTCTATAGTCTATATTAAGAATAAACAGTGCTTATGAAATGGTTCAAGTTGAAGGTTTAGCTTCATTTTGTTTTATACTAAATCACTTACATGGTTCATTTACAGAACCAGCTTTCTTAACCACTTTATCAATGAATTGAATGCTTAACTTTCTATATATCATATGGGGGATGTACTGGTTTCTGGATTATTTTATTAATAAATTACATAATTACATTTCACTGTAGCACTATCTGCCATTAGAAGCCATTGCTTGGTGTCATGGTAAAAACCTTGTGCTGACAAGCATGAGTAAAAGGGCTTGTATCTGAAAGCAGTCACTTAATGCTCAAATTCTGAAAATTAGGACCACATCCAATCCACTCCTCCCAAAAACCCCAAATAACAAGGGCAGCATTGAGTAATTACCATTTTATTAGCAGTATTCGTCATTAATGAGAATATCTAAATTGTGTTGTTTAATGTTTTTTACTTGTGAATTTATCATGCTCCTCTTGACTGTGATTGGATGCTAATGCTTACATGTTATACCTGTATTTTATTTATGCAATCTCACTGTTTAGGTTATCTGTTAGATATATTTCTGTTTGCTTAAGTACCTTCACCCCTACAAACAATATTGCATGTTTACAATTCAAGACCATAGTTGTTTTTCAAAAATGAAGGTTTCCTCAACTAGGATATCTTGATCTTATTTATTGTTTCGTTCGAAGATTATGACAGTGGCCCCCGACTGTGCAACACTAGAGACAACAATCCTTGATGCATTGCATATGATGCATGATGGGAAGTTTCTACATCTTCCTGTTCTCGATAAAGGTAAGCTAGAATTTCCTGGATTAGTAAGGAATTACATATAATCAAATTTTGATTTCAGTTTCTATGCAGATGGATGTATTGCTGCTTGCCTGGACGTCCTGCAGATAACTCATGCAGCAATTTCCATGGTAAAGAGTCATTTCTTCTGATGTAGTATGTTTCATAGCTATGGACTTTGTGAGATCAAGATCTGTAATAGTATCTAGTATCCTTTCCTAGATGTCTTTTCAAAGATGGAATTCCTTGAACAGGGGTGAGAATAATCTGGTCTAATGCATGTTTCAAAGGTTCGTAAATTTTTTCTAAAGTTTTCTGAATCCCTCTTTCTTTCATGACTCCTTGTGTTCATCTTTAGAGACTTCAATTAATGCAAATACACAGGTTCTCTTATGAGATATAAGTGGGAGGTCCAGATAAATGACACTGTTTTCAAATCGAGACTTTTTTTTTTATGGCAAAAGAATTTTGTTGAAACAAAAAAAGTACAGAGAACAGTGGCTATGAAAATGTGAACACAAATTGTTGGAAAATTTGGTTCGACTTGATTTAGGGAGGTTTTTTCTCAACTCCAGTAGGTGAACTAGAGGCCATTCTATTTGGATTTTTTTTTTCTTTTAAACTTTCGCAAATACTAAACATTTCACTACTAGAAGCAAGTTCATGCATGGAATGTCACAGATTTCTATGTTCAGATTTTTTTTGTTTTGATAATCATGTTCAGGTTTTACCGTTAAAGTTTTATTCATATGCTACAGTTCTTGGTTTATTGAAAATTTACATAATTGTTCTGAACAGCCTGATAAAGTAATAATTATTTTGAATAGCACAATTGTTAAAGCATAGAGAGTGAAAGAGATGTTTTTCTGATTTCAAATATGCTTTGAGTGTGAAGAGACTGATGGAGGTTTATTCATGGATGGCAGGCTCTTCAGAAGAGTAGCATATAGTTTTTTGAAATACCAAAAATCAGAAAGCATCAAATGAAGCTTTTGGTCTTTCCATGCTAAAAATAGTCTTACCAGCTGTTTTTAACAGCTTGGTAGAGCATATGGCTTACCAAACTGTCTTGGTCTTTACATACAAGACACTAAAAGGCTTAGTGTATCTTCTCATTGACTACACCGTAAAAACTTGCCAAACACTGGCTTTAGTTGTTACATCAGACAGACCCTAATGGCACCTTCTTTCTACTTTTTTTTTTCTCATTCTTCTTTCTCCTATACCCCATAACATGATCTACCACTCCTACAAATTATTACATGTGTTGTGGTTATATAGATGATGATTCTAGAGAGTCTCGATATGATTCCAACACACAGTCCAAACAGTCATTGCATCTGTAAAGATTCTGTACGTCAGGACTGTGTTGGGACTTTGTGTTGGCACTGGATCCGAATTTGATTCCAGAAATTGGAATCAAAATGGTTGAGCTTACAGAAAATCATTGATTCCTTGTGGGGTTTTCTTCATGTTTTTTTGGGTGATTTCCAAAGTTGAGATGGAGCATGATGTTTATAGATGGACAAATCAAGTTGCAGATTTTTTCTTTTTTTTCGGGGGGGGG